AAATAAATTGTAAAGCCGCTAATCGCTGTCCGATATCTTTACGAGGATTAAACAACATTTCCTGTATCTTGTTGAAAAGATCAAGAGTTGAGATTAAAAATTCCAAAAGATCATTTTGTGCAGTTGCTTTTGTCGTATCTGTGAATGTTGAATGGTTGATTATCGATAAAAATAATCGTGAAGCTGCTGATGCCACCTTTTTTTGTTTGAAACCAATTAATTGCCGTGCTAGTAAACAGGTACAAAGAAAAAAAAAATCATTAAAATTAAGCTTACTCACATAAGTGCTAGAGTCAAGAAAACAAGCGACAACAACTTGTGCACCTTTTGTGCTATGAAACCTTCATGAATCGTTATTATATATTAAATAATATTTGGCATGGGTACGTTATGAACCAATTTTCTATATCAATTACCATTTTGCACCAAGTTTATATGTAACTATTTGTTCCAAAGCTTCAATACATGAATATCTCATCAAGCCTTCTTCAGAGAATGCATTGTCCAAAATAAAATCAAGCACATCACTATATTCGTAAATGATTTGATTAAATAAAAGAGCGTTTTGTCTGTCATCATTAGCCAAAAGACGCGCTAAAAAGCGTATAGATAATGATGTAATTCTTGAATCTTTATTGCATTCGTGTCCAGTTTCGATTCCGTTGTACCGATTCTCTTGTATAATACAAGCCTAGCCGAATACCAAATATTTTCGGGATCAAGCATGAACGTTCAATTTAAAAATCACAGTTTATAAAGATAGTATATTGATATGTTTACGCACGCGTATAATTTTCATGGCATTCCATTCCATGAAAGTGGCAACCATATCAGGTCCTTGGGATGCATACTCTGAAAGGTAAGAAAGAACCTTTTCATGAATTGTGTCGTCCACGATGTCTTTGGACATTTGGGGTAAAGAATTTAAAACTACGTGAAGCTTTTCCATTTCATGCATTTCCTGCACGCCTGTTCTAATTTAACGATAAGTTGAGATTCACGAGTGCCAAATTATCTGTTATGCAAATTGTCGATCATTAAACCTCAAGAATATAATTATGCAGTGTGTAGATCATTATGTTATTATCATATAATTGTTCGAAGAACGTTACGGGTAGACATAGTCAATCAGATAAAAACAACCGGAGATAACTATATTGTCCTTCGAACTCAAAATGGTCTCCATTTGCCTGTATATCCACTTTAGACTAATTTACGCATATTCATCAGAACGAAGACGTAATTTATATTTGGCTTAATAAACATTTTTTACTACTATATATTAGGCAGACAATTTGTCACACTATTTTATATTGAGTTTTTTTTGGTGTTAAGGTGACCTCTACGGCCAGGGACTTTTTATTAGATTATTAACTTCAGGTTATACAATTAAAACGAGGGTACATTGGAATGTGCGATATCCTATTATTAACAAACCTATTGAAGATCATATATTAAATCGTATTATGAAGAATTTTTTCATAGCCTGTGACTTTTCTGAAATTTATATAGTAAAAATGCATTTTTTCAAATCGTTACTTCTCTTGCATTTTTAAAGATAAAGATAT